TTCACGTGAGGTCGAGTTTTACTGACAAAATTCCGGAGGAGTGAAAAGTATTTTTTATATCAAATAATACAATATAGTTTTCAACAACTTTCGCATTGGTCGGCCATTGGATGGGTGACCAAATATTTACCATCTCTCGCTCCTCCGTGCCTCGGAAGGCACGTTGAGCCGTTGGTCCCGGCTGCATCTGCAGTCGTTAGCACCCGCCAATCCGCACTGGACCCACGTGGTGGGCCATGGCCCATTCTACCTATTCCGTCCATAGGGAAAGCGTGTGTCCCAGCAGTGGGGACATTAATAGGCTGATAATGATGATGATTACTAAGAAATTCTCGGAGGAGTGAACAGTATTTTTAATATCAAATAAATGGTAAAGTTAGTGGAGTTCTGAATTTATCATAATACACAAGGATGGAAGTATATAATGATAGCTTTCATCACATGAACGAAAAAGGGGCCTGCCATTTTGCCAACTGTGAAAGACATTAACATAACGAATACTAGACAAAACTCACGGACTGCACGCAAAACTTGGAAGCAATGGCCAAGCTAAACTAGTTAAGTGGAAAGCAGTGACCAAGGTAAACTAGTTACCGGGGTAGCTATTGCCGAGGTAAACTAGTTAAGTGGGGAGCAATGACCAAAGTAAACTAGTTAATTTATCTTGACCAGTCTCGACACTAACTCGTTCCCATGAATAGAGTAGGGACATTATAAACCCTCATTACATCCTTTAACAGGTGGAAAATCCTAGAAGCATAAAGACAGCGAAAATATCCATTTAATTATAAACGTAACATTTAGTGATTAAAAACGACGAGTCATTATTACATCAATTTTTTAAATAATAATCAATAAATATTTTGGCGGATAGCACATTCCGAGCCGTTGTTCGTTGATATGTCCAAACTCATAATAATACATCATTATTATATATCAGAAGCGCAAACATATTAACAATATACAATTTTACATAATATTAAAGTATAAGAAATGGCGTTTTCTGGAAGCGCACATGATATCTCAATTGAGTTCCGTTTCACGCGACGAATGTTTGCTTAAACCAAATAAATGCTGAAATGTATTAATAATAAAGCTTTATAAGTTCTTTTTCTAGTCCCTTAAAGGTCCGATTACATACATTCCTCCTTACGTATTGCTAGATTTATTTATCTCCATTCATACATTTATTATACCCTCATACGATTCAAATTTTAATAGACATTTTTCTACGTATACATTCCATTTTTAAATGTGCCCTAATTTTTAATTATTATTATAATTACCGAAAATTTTGGGAACCTATGTACTACGACATTACAAAGAAAATGTTTGGCAATGTTATCATAAATTCAAACGGAACCAGAAGAATATAAAATAGGTATACAAAACAAGAAAAAGCCATGGTCCCAGTATAATACCTTGAGGCATTCCAAAGTACCCTCAAATAACATAATTTCTGTGTTAGCTACAATAATAAAAATAAAGTTTTAACTTGTGCTATAACAAAAAGTTATTTTTCTAGATTTTTCTGAAGTCTGAACGAAATTATTTAACCATAATAGAATTAATATCTACACTGTCGAATATCTATCTAAGATTCACAAAAACTCCGCATTGAAGATGTTAATTTATTGTAATTTTGTGAGATTTAATAGAATATGGGACCATCACTATCATTTTTAGTTGCCATAACATAAACGAATGGAAAAAGCTACATGCTACCAATAAATAAGCTTTAAAATTAAGAAATACAACCAAATATTTTGTGAATCGTTAAATAATCGTTTAAAAAAATACTTCTTTCAATACAACCTTTACCTTATAACGTGTATAAAATACTAGCTTGTCGTCAAAAGAAATGGTTATCAATACATTTTGAATGTTTAATCATGAGCCAAGCATTATTGTACTATAAATATCTATGATAAAGATTATTTTTCACTGTCATCAGATTAACATATGAGAATAATTTGCTTCTAAAAACATTCAGTTAAATGCAGAATCAACATTTGATGTATGCACATATATAAATAACCATTTTTATGACACCGTTCATAATTTTACATTTATTTTATTTGTATGTACAACAACCAAGTTTTTTTTACAAAAAAAGAAAACGATCTCCCGTTTGACTACTTGTAACAAATCTAGCCACTCGAATGCTTCTTAAAAGTCATAAATTATGCGCTAACTACAAAATAAGAGACGGATTAATATTTTTTTAAATATTTTCAACATCGTATCTAACGGTTGATCCATACACAAAATTATATTCGTTAGCTCTGAAGCCGTAAATACATTCTACAAAACATCAAATTTCTACAAAATGTAATAATATTGCGTGATAACTTCAATATATAACTTGAAAAGGCTTAACCGATTTCGTCTTACTTTTTAAAGCCTTATTCGTGATAATTTCGTAAAAACTTTGTAGAAAGTTCAAAAGAAACAGTGAGCAGAAAATTAGAAAATTTAATACTTCTAAATCTACCCGATAGATCTGTAGTCGGGTTTTAGATGTTTGTTTAAGATTTTTTATTAGGTAGGACTACTCGGTCATTCAATTCACTAGTAATCATATATATTTGTGATAACACGAATGTTTTAATTAAAAACATGAATATGAAATTGTTTATTATTGAAAACTCTTTTTAATCTTCCAACAATTTTATATATAATGCCATTTCTTGTAAGTGGCAGTTGGCTTCAAAGTCAACGAATGAAAAAAAGTGTACAAAATAAACTGTGCTGGTTCGGTAAACTTACTTTTCTAAAATGAAAACATTAATAAGTTTCCGTTACTTTAAAAAGTTAAAAAAAAATGGCACAATAACGCGTTGTTTCAAATGAAAAAAAAATTAAATGCTGTATCATAATTATTAGGTCTATTAATTTTCAATTCCATAATTTAAAATTATTTTATTTTACGTTTCGTCAAGAAAAAAACAATTAAAAGCAACAAACAGTCAAATTGTAAAACTCGTTGGTCAAAAATCATTTAAAAATAATAATATAAGTTTAGAAATGTTTTCGTTTGTTTCACTTAAAAATAATGTTGTTTATATACAAGAGCAGATAGAATTAATGATTATTCTAACAATTGATTCTAACCAAGAACAATCGACGGGAGAATCCAGATTCCCGGCCATCTGGCAACCCCATTATTTAACAACAGACTAAACCAAAGACCAAGACTTAATATTAGATAAAATCAGCCAAAATTTAAATTTGAAAGTGATATCAAACCCGGTATTCAAATATGATACTACTGCAATGGTAAAAATGGTACATTGTTATGAATTCTAGGTTAGAATCAAAAGTTAGAAAAATCTTTATATTTATATATAAACAAGCGTCGCGAACAATATAATATATGTGATAACATAGTGACCGTAAGTATGTACGTCTTTACATTTCTAGTATATTATAATGATAGCTTACATAATATATACAAGACCTGTAACATTCCTTTAATTTGAGAAATAAACTATTTATTATTTTGTGAAGAAATTTCGCTATACCAATGTGGAAAATACTCTATTAAACTTAATCTGAGACAAAAGGTTTCATAATTGGTCTAAGTTTATACGAAAATAAAATCCAATTTAAAAAATAGTGACAATAAAAAGACAGAAAACTGTAGCAATTCCCAAACTTTGAACGCATTGTAATACTACTGATAAAGCAAATAATTTACGTTGAAATATGTTTTTTTTTTAATCAGTCTGGTTACACCATCGTCTGACCGCGATAAAAAAAGTTTTAGCAGCATTGGTTTATTTGTTTACATTTTGTCTAAGAGGAAGTTGAATAGAGTATCTCTAGGCACTAGTTAAAACCAGCGAGAACTATTTTGCTACGAGTACAAAACTAGATTGTTACTAAAGCACTCAGTATAAAAAAATACGCCAGTAAACTAGTTTAGACTAGTTAATTAAACTAGTTTGGACTAGTTAATTAATCTAGTTTGGACTAGTTAATAAAACTAGTTTGGCTTAGATGGAAAAAGCTAACCTACCAATTGAATAAGAACATAAAGACAATGTTTTATAATTTATCAAACATGTACCAATTCAATGTTGAGTTTTATTGAAAAATTCGACCATTCGAACCATTTTAGTTAACACTAATTATATACACGCCTAAACAGAGCAATCCAAATGAACCACGCAAAGAAAACGGCTCATGTTACGCACAATGCGTGCGTGATTCTAGTGTCATATTGTTTGAAAGCAGCCGATGTGTGCGTGTGTAGATATTTTTCGGTCACTTCGGTGGATTTCATACGATATCTAGACGTGTATTTAATCAAAACAGTTAAAATCTTAGATTAAAACAAAAAGGGAAGATACGGTACGCTCATACGAGCATCAAATAAAATATACTCCGACTCAACTACATAAGCAACTGTCACGCACGCACACTTCTGTATATAAACATTCAATCGAGCGAGCGAGATAGAACTATACGCTTGAACGCAGCGCGAGCGAAACGGCGACTCCGCGTCGCTTGGCAAACGACTGCGTTATCTTATCTCTCTCTACAAACGGCTGAGTTGTATTGTTGTCCTTTTCTTGATAACAAATGGCGAAAAAGTAAATAAAATTCATGATAAACCGTGTTTTTTGAGAAAATCAAATTCTTAGATGACTGTAGAAAAAAAAAATGTTTTCATAGTTCTACGAATGAAAAGCGTTGCCGTGAAATTTGTTATTTGATCTTGGATTATTTGACGACCTCCGTGGCCGAGTGGTTTGTACGCCGGGTTTCATGGCGTCGCCGACTCGAGAGGTCCCGGGTTCGAATCCCGGTGGGGGCAGATGTTTGTGTGATGAGCATTTGTACTCCAGTCATGGATGTTTAATATGTATTTCTATATAAATATACTTATATATGTATTCTGTCCGTTACCCTAGTATCCCATAACACAAGCCTTATAGTGCTTACTTTGGGGCTAGGCTAATTGGTGTGAGTGTTGGAAATATTTATTTATTTATTTATATTCTTTATAAAAGCATCGAAGGCATTGTTTCATCTTTATAACACAGTATATACGCAATATTGTTAAATTGAGTGCACATGCAGAGTGTTTGAATGTCCAATAGGGTATTTGACAAGTGTTAGAAAACGATCTCACGTTATTGACTAATGTTTATAGAGTCCGTAAAAAATGGGGATATTCATCATTCTGTTGTGTATTTCAGTAAAAATAACCAAATCAAAAACTCCATTTTCAAGTTGACGCGAAAACGTATCTCTGGACAATATGGCGTCTCATTGGTGTGTGACGTCACACGAATGTCATTAAAACGCCAAACCATACAATCTAATGTCACTTTAACCGGAAGTTTACTTGCGTGTGACGTCATTTTAGGCTCCACCAATCCCAAGCGTTTTGGGTCACGTGACAATAGACAAGAAAACTACTATTTTTGTCGTGGGTTTTTTAATAAAATCTATATATATAAAACTCAAAGGTGACTGACTGACTGACATAGTGATCTATCAACGCACAGCCCAAACCACTGGACGGATCGGGCAGAAATTTGGCATGCAGGTAGATGTTATGACGTAGGCATCCGCTAAGAAAGGATTTTTGATCAATTCTACCCCCAAGGGGATAAAATAGGGATTGAAAGTTTGTATGAAACTTTGTCAATTTTAAACCGATCGGGCTGAGACTTTGCATGCAGGTATAAGAAGAATCATAGATGAATGTCATTGTGTATAATACAAGCCTGAGAACAAAAACTGTAGTCTACACTTCAGCTCTACACCGAAGCGAAGCGAGGGCGGGCCGCTAGTTATGAATATTTTTTCTGTAATAATAGTAAAAACTCCTGCCAATATTCATTCTAAACACAGATGCTAACAATTGGCACTTTATTTTTAATACTGTCAAATACCCTATTATGACTAAAGCGAATTGTGGTCATGGACCACAATTTAAGCGCTATACTTTTAGAGCCGCGAGTGCCGTCCCTTCCCTTTTTTAAGAATCTAAGGTTAAAAATACTTTATGCAGTATTTAATTAATATAAAGTTACATGAAAGTTCGTATTCAATAATGTTTATGGTTTCTGGTTTTATTTTTATGGCTTTAAAAGAGTTGTATGTTATAATAGTTTTCACTGGTACATGTTCATATTGTGTGATGCTGACGATGTAATGATACAAAAACGTCTCCAATAAGTTTTAAACTAATTAAGGTATGGCTTCCACTCAGTCGAAGCTATAGATATTTTTCTCACACATGAAATTATTGCTCCTACAATCTACGAATATTTGTTAAAATTACCCTACAAACACGTGAATAATGAATATTATAGGATATTTAGATTTTAGAAAACGATCTCACGTTATTTACTAATATTTATGGAGTCCATAAAAAGTGGATACTAATAATTCTGTTGTGTATTTCAATAAAAAAACTAAATCAAAAATTCCATTTTTAAATTGCCGCGAATACGCTTCTCTAGATTATGGCATCTCACTGGTATGTGACATCATACGACTGACATTAAAACGTCCAACAATACAATGTATTGTCACTTTGACCGGAAGTTCACTGGCGTGTGACGTCATTTTAGTCTTTCCAATCCCAGGCGTTTTCGGTCACGGGACCATAGAAATGTTTTTTAGAACCAAAAAAACATTTCTATTTAACGATTTTTTAGAAAAGCTAGAATCTCAGAATCGTAGAATAACTGGCAATATTCATAGTAAATACGGATGCCAACAAATTAATGTTTTCCTACTGTCAAATAGCTAATTGTCTGGAATTAATTGTTGTTGAAGTAAATAATTGAATTACGGTAAAGTTAACACCCAATCTCATGCAAAGAAAGACTGCATCGCCAAACGAGTTTTATAGAAGCGAAATATATCTATAGCTTAGCTTTCCCAATGGACATCGACCTTGTACACTAGTCTTATAAAATGGCATGTACTCTTACAAGTTACATTCATAATTGTATAAATTTCTAACAATATAAAATGTATACAATAATTATTTTATATATCTACAGCTAATTGTAGACATGAATAAAAAAAAATGCCTTAAATATTAAATTTTGTTCGAAACCAGCCTTTGCTGTGTTGCTTTTGCAATATGGTTCTTAATACGAAAGACATAAGGCATAGATGTCTGCAATTAGCTGTATTAATATCTAAACGTATTTGGCAGTTAATATGTAGGCTCCTTGTTGGGTCCTGAAAACAATGGAAATTTAAATATAATTTTTGATAAGAGTTTAACAAAAAAACAAAAAACATTGTGTGTACCATGCATGTCAGAAGTTAAACGAACTTTCATAATAATAATTATAAAAATACTAGCTGTCCCAGCTGTTGAGGAGCTCGATGGCGCAGGTGGTTAGCGCGTTCGGCTTCGATCGTTGTAGTTAAGCAACTTTCGCAGTGGTCGGTCATTGGATGGGTGACCAAAAATTTCTATCACGAGTTTTTCCGTGCTTCGGAAGGCACGTTAAGCCGTTGGTCCCGGTTGCATCTGCAGTCGTTAGCACCCGCCAATCCGCACTGGGCCCGCGTGGTGAGTCATGGTCCAATATCCCTATTCCATCCATAGGGAAGGCCTGTGCCCCAGTAGTGAGGACATTAAGAGGCTGATGATGATGATGATGATGATAGCTGTCCCAGCGAACTTCGTAGCGCCATAAAAAAATAAAAATATAGTGAAACTTTAGGGTTGTATGTATTTACTAATGCTGTATCATAAAAAAATTAAAAAAAAAATCTAAAACAAAAAAAAAATGGGGGGGGGGGGCGTTAAGGGTAATCCTTAACATTAAGGGGGATGAAAAATAGATGTTGTCCGATTCTCAGACCTACCCAATATGCACACAAAATTTCATGAGAATCGGGAAAGCCGTTTCGGAGGAGTTTAACCACAAACACCGCGACACGAGAATTTTATATATTAGATATATTAACACAATTAGATAATATAAAAAACAATAAAAACAAATAAATAAAAAAATTAAGACGAAAAATAATGAACATGGTGTTCATAAGAGCGCTGATTGTATATTACAGTGAATATCTTTGTTAATATTGTCAGAAACGCTCTCGAAACAAAACCGCGAACATACTGGAAACAGATTTTACTTCTTAGGTTTTCACGCACATCACTCATTAAATAAAACTAGTTTTTACGGGTTAATGCACGAAACTTTATTTATTTATTGACGTTTCGCAGCCTTTTCAGGTCTGCATCGTCAGAATAATGATTTTATTTAAAATTGTCGAGCTACCTTCGAAAGAATTATATTGTGCGTTCGGTTATTTCATTGGAAGATTTTTAAAACTTTTATTGTCTATGTATGAATTTATTATTTAATTTACTTAATAAAGTATTTTATTTAAAATTCTTGTTTGTAATTTTGAGTTTATTTATTTGACCCTAACTACCGTAAACTACCACCGGTTCCAAAATTGGGAGACCTTCCTGAGAAGAACCGGCGAAACAAACTCAAGAGAGGCTTTCTATCTCCTTCTTATGTTAAATTATGCAAACAAAAAGAACTAATAGTATCTGATGGTCTTGCAGTGTGTGCTCGGGGTTGGGATTTTATCTCCTGTATAATAGGTCCCCAAGCTGGTGGTATATACCAACCATCTTCCCTATTGAAATTTGGATATTTTTTAATCTCAATAGCCTCGCGCATCATTCGAGGAACGAACCGCCGCTCAACTGCAAGGATCTGTGGTCTATCAAATCTAATGTACTGCAGTGTGTGTAACTGCACGTGAAAATAAATCTGCAGTGTGTGAACATGCATTAGGGGGACCAAACCACTACATTAGATTTGATAGACCACAGATCCTTGCAGCTGAGCGGCGGTTCGTTCCTCGAATGATGCGCGAGGCTATTGAGATTAAAAAATATCCAAATTTCAATAGGGAAGATGGTTGGTATATACCACCAGCTTGGGAACCTATTATACAGGAGATAAAATCCCAACCCCGAGCACACACTGCAAGACCATCAGATACTATTAGTTCTTTTTGTTTGCATAATTTAACATAAGAAGGAGATAGAAAGCCTCTCTTGAGTTTGTTTCGCCGGTTCTTCTCAGGAAGGTCTCCCAATTTTGGAACCGGTGGTAGTTTACGGTAGTTAGGGTCAAATAAATAAACTCAAAATTACAAAGAAGAATTTTAAATAAAATACTTTATTAAGTAAATTAAATAATAAATTCATACATAGACAATAAAATTTTAAAAATCTTCCAATGAAATAACCGAACGCACAATATAATTCTTTCGAAGGTAGCTCGACAATTTTAAATAAAATCATTATTCTGACGATGCAGACCTGAAAAGGCTGCGAAACGTCAATAAATAAATAAAGTTTCGTGCATTAACCCGTAAAAACTAGTTTTATTTAGATTTTACTATTTATTTGATTAGGCACCCATACAGCAATACATTAACAAAATTATGAATAACATAAATACACTTATTATATGCTTGCACCTTATGAGTACACAGCGTTCAATACAAAAAAGACAGTTTTTAATTATAATAAAATTAAAAAAAAAAAAACAAAATTTAAATTAAAATAATTTGAAAAAAATATAACTAGAAAAAATTCCACGCGGACCAGGCAGCAGACGGGACTCGAAACTAGCTTAAGAATGGCTAGAAGAATTTCGACGCGGTCCGTGAGGGCCGCGGTAGCATAATTGGTCAGTGCATCGCCCGGATTGCGAAGGGTGCGGGTTCGAGTCCCGTCTGCTGCCTGGTCCGCGTGGAATTTTTTATAGTTATATTTTCTTTAGATTTAAACATCAAGCAGTTACATGCTTTAAAATAATAAAAATTATAACTAAAATCATTTGATTAAATAATTAAATTGAATCAATAATTTTTAATTTTTTGATATTAAGTAGTTTTAAGTCTTTGTTATTTAAATATTTCTCTGTAAATAACCAAATAAATGTAATATTGTAATAAATTAAATAAGTAAATTACAATATCATATTTAAGAGGCTTAGATGGAATCCAGCAGCTCATGTCTGAAGTGCTTGGTGTCTCAAGTGTTAAGTAAAATCGCTTTTTGTAGTTGTTTAAGTGTGATACATTGTGGGTTACTTCCAATGCGAAGAGATGGCGCTGCCTTGCAGCCGAAGGCTAGAGAAAATTCGACACGGCCGTCAGGGCCGCGGAAGCATAATGGTCAGTGCATTCGTCCGGACAGCGAAAGGTACTGGTTCGAGTTCCGTCTGCTGCCTGGTTTGCGGGGAATTTTTTCTAGTAAACTTTTCTTGAGTGTGTGATATGTCAGTGTCTGGGTGTTTATGTCTCACCTAGAGGAACAGCACGGGTCCGCGTGGAATTTTCTCTAGTAAACTTTTGTCGAGTGCGATATGTCAGTGTCTGGGTGTTTATGTCTCACCTAGAGGAACAGCACGGGTCCGCGTGGAATTTTCTCTAGTAAACTTTTGTCGAGTGCGATATGTCAGTGTCTGGGTGTTTATGTCTCACCTAGAGGAACAGCAGGGGTCCGCGTGGAATATTTTCTAGTAAACTTTTGTCGAGTGCGATATGTCAGTGTCTGGGTGTTTATGTCTCACCTAGAGGAACAGCAGGGGTCCGCGTGGAATATTTTCTAGTAAACTTTTGTCGAGTGCGATATGTCAGTGTCTGGGTGTTTATGTCTCACCTAGAGGAACAGCACGGGTCCGCGTGGAATTTTTTCTAGTAAACTTTTCTCGAGTGCGATATGTCAGTGTCTGGGTGTTTACGTCTCACCTAGAGGAACAGCACGGGTCCGCGTGGAATTTTTTCTAGTAAACTTTTGTCGAGTGCGAACTGTTAGTGTCTGGGTGTTTATGTCTCACCTAGAGGAACAGCACTGGTCGGTCGGCGCGCGATGACCCGCTGGACAATGACCGGTCGCGGTCGCGGTCACGGTCGCGGCGGGTGGAGTCGGCAGCGGATGCATTCGACCCGCTAGAACCAGATTTGGCTTCCGCCTCGCGACCCGCTGTCGAACAGACAGACGGAATAATGATTATTAAATCTATTTACAGGCTGTAAAGGAGGCTGGAGGAGCTCGATGGCGCAGGTGGCTAGCGCGTTCGGCTGCGATCGTTAAAGTTAAGCAACTTTCGCAGTGGTCGGTCATTGGATGGGTGACCAAAAATTTACTATCTCGAGCTTCTCCGTGCTTCGGAAGGCACGTTAAGCCGTTGGTCCCGGCTGCATTTGCAGTCGTTAGCACCCACCAATCCGCACTGGGTCCGCGTGGTGGGTCATGGCCCAATCTCCCTATTCCATCCATAGGGAAGGCCTGTGCCCCAGCAGTGGGGACATTAATAGGCTGATGATGATGATGATGACAGGCTGTAAAAACCTATGACAAAAACCTATAATGCGATTCAAATAAGAATAGGAAAGCCGATGACCTCCGTCTGTCAAATGTCGCATGAAAAGTACGGTTTGCAAAAAATCTCGGAACGCTTTTTTAACACTCCGCTAATTCTAGATTAAAAAAACCAAACATTTTTAACCCTATAAACGAACAATAACAAATATTGATAAATAAAATAAATAAATAAATATTTCCGACACTCACACCAATTAGCCTAGCCTAGCCTAGCCCCAAAGTGAGCACTATAAGGCTTGTGTTATGGGATGCTAGGCAACGGATAGAATACATATACTGTACATATATAAGTATATTTATATAAATACATATTAAACATCCATGACTGGAGTACAAATGCTCGTATTCATCACACAAATATCTGCCCCCACCGGGATTCGAACCCGGGACCTCTCGAGTCGGTGACACCATGAAACCCGGCGTACAAACCACTCGGCCACGGAGGTCGTCAAACTGCGAGGAGATAGTAAAACCGTCAATTTAATTTTCCCATATACACTGTTCTATCTTCTTTCCTGTCAAACATTTGACGTTCGTCCCTTATGGTACGGTAGACTCGAGTCCCTCATTTCTTCCAAATTATTTTAACCCGTACGAAGTACGCGGTGTCAGCTAGTATATACAGGGCGTCCCACGGCTACCTCACACTGAAGGAAAGTATATTAAATATTGAAGATAGGACATTTTACTGAAAGAAGACATCATTTTATTTTTAATAATAACTAGAACTGCATTCACAGATTTTTTAAAAATCGCCTTCTTCAACTGGGAATCAAACTCGTGAAATTTCGAAAAATATAACACGGCATATTTTATGAAAACCATCGAAAGGGTTAATCATAAGGATTATTTTTTGCTAAATAACATAGCATTTTAAATGAAAGGAATGTGAATTACGTGATAAAAATAATAAAGTGATTTACAAACTGTAGTATATATGAATTTCTTTTTGAACTCACAGTTACAATGCGACTGGCAAAAATTTTTTGTTAATTTACTTACCATGGCTTATTAAAATCTTTTGACGTGACAACGTCTTAAATTAGGTTGCGGCTGGGAGTCACTTATGAAAAAGTGTAACGCTCGGTAACGTTACGATGAGTCTCTCGTGTTAAGTTTAAGTTTACATGTACAATGTTTTAGTAAACAAAATATATTTCTATAGTTAAAATTTGTGCAATTCTTATTTTCATTCAATTCCTTGTTCCTATTGTGCAATTTAATTATATTCATATCAATAAATATTCTACCGAGAAAAAGACGTTGTCACGTAAAATCTTCGCCCGTAAAACCGACTTTACAGGCAACCATTTTTTTTTCATTATTTAAACACATATCGAGAAGGTTTGTCTCTATCAGGATATCTTTTGCGGTACCACCGCTAAGCTAATGATATGTCTTTGTGGTTCATAAAGTAAGCTTACATTAAATCTATTTTATTTTGATGCGCCATGGTAAGTATATTAACAAAAAAATAAAAATAAACGAAAATGAAACTTGAGGCTTGAATATTTATATGGTTTATTTTCAAATTATTATTACAAATTTCAGCCAATCGCATTGTAACCGAATTCAAAAAGAAATGCATACGGACTACAATTTGTATATCACTTTATTATTTTTATCACGTAATGAGACATTCCTTTCATTTAAAATGCTATGTTATTAAGCAAAACATAATCCTTATGATTAACCCTTTCGATGATTATCATAAAATATGTCGTGTTTTTTTTTCGAAATTTCACGAGTTTGATTCCCAGTTGCGATTTTATAAAAATCTGGGAATGCAGTTCTAGTCATTATTAAAAATAAAATGATGTCTTCTTTCAGTAAAATATCCTATCTTCAATATTTAATATACTTTCCCTCCGTGTGAGGTAGCCGTGGGACGCCCTGTATATATATATATACAGGTGAGGTGAGGAGCTCGATGGCGCGGGTGGCTATCGCGTTCGGCTGCGATCGTTAAGGTTAAGCAACGTTCGCAGTGGTCAGTCATTGGATGGGTGACCAAAAATCTTCTATATCGAGTTCCTCCGTGCTTCAGAAGGCACGTTAAGCCGTTGGTCGCGGCTGCATCTGCAGTCATTGGCACCCACCAAATTGCACTGGGCCCGCGTAGTGGGTCACGGCCCAATCTCCCTATTCCATCCATATTCATATATTTATTTAGAAGAAACATGTTACAAATACATATAATGATCAAACATGATTCGATTAATAAGAATGCAAATGTCGAATTATTTTACAAGAAATCCATTTAATATTATTATTGTAATGAGTCAATCATATTAAAACTATAACACACTAAATCAATATTATTCTTGAACAACTTACAATTTTAAGTTTAATCTACAATCATGAAACTTCAAATCATTTATTCCATTTACACATGTCAAATTATCGATCAATGAAATCTATATATACAAAACTCAAAGGTGACTGACTGACATAGTGATCTATCAACGCACAGCCCAAACCACTGGACGGATCGGGCTGAAATTTGGCATGCAGGTAGATGTTATGACGTAGGCATCCGCTAAGAAAGGATTTTGATCAATTCTACCCCCAAGGGGATAAAATAGAGAATGAAAGTTTGCATGAAACTTTGTCAACTTTAAACCGATCGGGCTGAGACTTTGCATGCAGGTAGAAGAAGAATCATAGATGAATGTCATTGTGTATAATACAAGCCTGAGAACAAAAACTGTAGTCTACACTTCAGTTCTACACCGAAGCGAAGCGAGGGCGGGCCGCTAATATTATTAATAAATCACTACAATAAACATACACATAAAATTCAAATTTCAATTAATTTTATCACTTATTATGTCTGGATTTAAAAATAAAATTAAAATATTCCTTTACTGAGAAAAAACATTGTACTTGCAACCATGATCTTATCATCCTTTGAAAAAGTGTTTTTGGAAGATTTGGGAAGTGAACCAGCAGTGGGGCATTGATAGGCCTGTGCACCAGCAGTGGGGCATTGATAGGCTGGTGATGATATTGAAGAGTATTACTAACTGCTTAGTCATAATAGAGGTGATGACGGGGTACAGTAAACAAAATTCTATTTAGTCCGTCAGTTAGATGATCAAAAAATAATGGACACGTATTTTTTCTTTGGGCAATCAACCAAAAAATGACAAAGTTATAGCGCGTCGAAGTCTGGGAGTGGGGGCTCGTGACGTCACTTCTAAGTGAAAATTGTACCAAAACGTGACGTCATGCGACTTTTCAAATCAATATATCTCTGCAATGTTTATATTATGTGAAAAAAGAAGAAATACGTGTCCAATACTTTTTGATAATCTACCTGAAAAACGAAAAAATCAAATTTAGTCATCATCCCTATTGTTATATCATTTACATCTGTAATGGAAAGTGACTTCATGAGTTATCTCATGTTGAAGCCATTTTTCAATTTGACGACTCTGTATATAATACAGGGAGAAAAAAACAGCTCTTGCTGAGTTTCTTGCGATATAAACCTTTTACAAATTCTGTATTACCTTGTTCTATAAAGATGTCAAATTGAAATTAAAAAACAAACTTTTGTTGAGTAAATGTTTTTAAATTATTCTTTCGATGTTGTGGAGTATATTTTTCTCAGTTTCTCCGCAGCTAAAAATTTGTCCAATAACGAGTGGCATGGAAAAATAATTTGAGCAATTCAAAAATAGTTGTAATACCTGTGCATCTAATTCGAATACAGACATTTTGTCTTTCGAGGCCTTTAACAAGCCAAACAATAAACGCAGAAGTACATAAATTCTGAAACTCATATACTAAATATAATGTTAACTATAAAATTTATTGTAACTATATATTTATATTCTAAATGATGTAATGGAAGGTGACTTCAGACGTATCTCTGAAGTCATTTTTCAACTTGACGACTCTGTCTGTATATAACAATACAGGGAGAAAAAAACAGCCCTTGTTGAGTTTCTTGCCGGTTCTTCTCAGTACAAGGTCTCCCGCCGTAGTTTTGCGAACCGATGGCGTAGCTTCTTGACCTTCACAAGTGTTTGTAACAGTCTAGACTGAGTAAATGACTTTTCATTTCATAAAATTTACTTAATTATAAAAAAGATATAAACATTATATATCAAATACATTACACAGAAAAATAATAAAAAAATCAAACCAATATTCCTTACCTCTGCTCACACAAAATATTTTACCCCAAATTTTAATTATTTAATAAAAAAAACTTTAATCAGACCACAAAAAATTGAAAACAATCACTCAAGTAAATAAAAGATTTCAAACATTAAAGCCAATTAAACAATTCAAAAAGTTCAATGAACAAAACGAAGTTCTCCATCCAACTTTTAGTTCTACCCCCGGCCAAGAGATGGCGCTGTAGCCGCCTGAATCGCGCAATGGTTTCGTTGTCCCGGATAGCTAAGTATTTACGGTATGCAAGTACATTGCAGTCGTTAGCACCCACTTAATTTGGGTATTTTTGAATGGCGGCTTTGATATTATATGCAAAGTACCGCCATTAAGAATAAGAAAATTAACTCGTCATTGAATATTAAGATTTTTGACTAGGAACTTAAATAATTTGTATGCCCATATTGGCACGACATGTTATGCACCCCCAAGATTTCACATCTTACTTACACATGCGGTTACAAATAAAAATTTTCTTTCTTTCTTTATGAAATTGATGAATTATAACCTCAATTATAAATTCTATTATACGAAAATGTACCTACGTATATAATTAATTTTAACAATAATAATTGCGTTGTTATTTAGTATAATTATTACTGGTGTTGTTGAATGTTCGGTTTAAATATGTGCTGAAGCCGATGTTAGGCCGACATTCGGTAATATTTTGCTAAAAGAACAAAATGTTTAAAAACAATAAAAAACATATTTTTTTTATAAAAAAGAAATAATACAAAGAAAGCATACTATGTTACCTTGCTGATATAGACAAAATAATAAATGTTTTTGATAATACTTAATGTTGTTCCTGTCTAGGGAAATAAAAAAAAATACAAATGACGTCCGCATAATTATTTGGTTAAGACATCATTTTATAATAAATTTCTTTTCACTCATTTGTGTCTGATTTAAATTGATTTAACCTACCGCATTTAGGAGCTCGATGGCGCAAGCGATCAGTGAGTTCGGCTGCGATGATAAAAAAAAGTTAAGCAACTATCGCAGTTGTCGGTCATTGGATGGGTGACCAAAAATTTACTATCTCTCGCTCCTCCGTGCTTCGGAAGGTACGTTAAGCCTATGGTCCCGGCTGCATCTGCAGTCGTTAGCACCCGTCAATACGCACTGGGCCCGCGTGGTGGGTCATGGTTCAATCTCCCTATTCCATCCATAGGGAAAGCCTGTGCCCCAGCAGTGGGGACATTAATAGGCTGATAATGGAGCTACCGATTTTCGGCCGACATTCGGCAACGATTTTTTGTAAAACGATTTAACATATGTATGTCAATTTAGCAAATCATGTACCATGTTTCTTGCAAAAAATATATATGAATAAATTAATGCATCTACTAACATCGTAATAAGTTATAATTGTCACTAACATATTATGGAACTAGCGGCCCGCCCTCGCTTCGCTTCGGTGTACAGCTGAAGTGTAGACTACAGTTTTTGTTCTCAGGCTTGTATTATACACAATGACATTCATCTATGATTCTTCTTATACCTGCATGCAAAGTCTCAGCCTGATCGGTTTAAAATTGACAAAGTTTCATACAAACTTTCATTCCCTATTTTATCCCCTTGGGGGTAGAATTGATCGAAATCCTTTCTTAGCGGATGCCTACGTCATAACATCTACCTGCATGTCAAATTTCAGCCCGATCCGTCCAGTGGTTTGGGCTGTGCGTTGATAGATCACTATGTCAGTCAGTCAGTCACCTTTGAGTTTTATATATAAAGATATAGATAGATTGTAGTTCTGAAAAAATTTTTTACACCCATTTAATCCGCAGGGAAGGCTTGTGCCCCAGCAGTGGGTGACATTAATATACTAATATACTGATGAAAATACAATTATGAATACATTTTATACACTTACTCGTATGTTCTTTAGCCGTGAGATGATCGGAGCCGGCACTCGAACCCCCACTGCCTGACAGAACGCTCTCTTCTCGATTGTACCTGGAATGTATATATTTTTATTATTATTTATACTTAATGCATAAGTGTACAAAGGCGGACTTAATGCCATAGGCATTCTCTACCAGTCAACCATAGGTTGTTGTGGATAAATAGTTGACGACCTCCGTGGCCGAGTAGTTTGTACGCCGGGTGTCATGGTGTCGCCGACTCCCGGGGGTCCCGGGTTCGAATCCCAGTGGGGGCAGATGTTTGTGTGATGAATACGAGCATTCGTACTCCAGTCATGGATGTTTAATATGTATTTCTATATAAATATACTTATATATGTACAGTATATGTATTCTATCCGTTACCCTAGTATCCCATAACACAAGCCTTACAGTGCTTAGCTTGGGGCTAGGCTAATTGGTGTGAGTGTTGGAAATATTTATTTATTTATAGTGGTAGGGTGCACAACTTACATGGAAATTACAAAAAGACGAACATATAGTATAATGCGATTCAAATAAGAATAGGAAAGCCAATGACCTCCAACTGTCAAATGTCGCTTGAAAAGTACGGTTTGCAAAAAAATCTCCAAACACTTTTTTAGCACTCGACTGATTGTAGAATAAAAACCAAACATTTTTAAACAAACAATAACAAATGTTGATAATTAATATTATTTGTTTTTTTTTCACTTATTGAGTATCTCTTATCTATTAGACAAGTCCGTCCGTCCGTCTGTCTGTGGTGCTGTTTCAGCGGCCAAACCGTAAGAGATAGATATAGAGAATATTTAAGTTATAAGTTAAGAATAGTCTGATAAGACTACAAACCGGATTTGAGTAACGTAGCACTTCCGGTTTTCGAGAAATCGCGAATTTCAAACGAAACCACACAAAATCTCAGAAGTTCTCAATTAATTAAATACATTTTTTTTTAAATCAGGTTTTGGTGAACATTTGGTTCACTGGTTTGCTAGTTGATATTATTTATTTTATTAATTACTAGCTGTGCCCCGCGGTGTACCCGCGGTATATAAGTGACATTTCCCGCAGTAAAACATAGCCTATCCATATTCTATTAGTTAACTTTGGTTACTTTCATAGTGTTATTGTGGGGCTCAGCCGCTAATATAGAAAGTATTTTCATACTGCAAAAGACAGCTGTTCGCGCCATATACAATTTAAAGGCAAGAGAATCCCTTAGAGAAAAATTTAAAGAAATTAATATTTTAACACTGGCGTCGCAATACATTTATGAAAATTTAATATATGTAAGAAAAAAGTCAAACCCATAACTTTAACACGAGATTTAAGAACAAGCTTGCCGTCCCATGTTTCAGACTCCAAAAATCAAGAGGTTCATTTCTGGGTTGTAGTATTGCATTGTTTAATAAAGTTCCCCAAGATCTGATTGAGTTTCCACTAACCAAATTTAAATCTCAGATCAAAAATACTCTTATGAATAAGGGCTAATAAAAAGTTGATGATTATCTAAATGATCGTAATGCATGGACATAGTGTTTCTTATAATTTGTTATTTAATGGGTATTATTCATTTTTCATAACAGTAATATTGTACCTATCTAATGCCGCTTCCTATATACTAAATATAATGTTAACTATAAAATTTATTGTAACTATATATATTTATATTCTAAATGATGTAATGGAATGTGACTTCAGACGTATCTCTGAAGTCATTTTTCAACTTGACGATTCTGTATATAACAATACAGGGAGAAAAAAACAGCCCTTGTTGAGTTTCTTGCCGGTTCTTCTCAGTACAAGGTCTCCCGCCGTAGTTTTGTGAACCGATGGCGTAGCTTCTTGACCTTCACAAGTGCATGTAACAGCTAAGACTGAATAAATGACTTTTCATTTCATGTCATAATCCAGGCTGTCAGCTAACTCCATACCAAATTTTATTAAAATCTCTCCAGCCGTTTAGACGTGAAAAAGTAACAAACATACACACACACAAACTTTCGTCTTTATAATAATTATTAGCGTAACAGGAATGATGACTAATTTTTTTCTTCGTTTATCAGGTAGATTATCAAAAAGTATTGGACAAGTATTTTTTCTTTTTTCACATAATATAAACATTGCAGAGATATATTGATTTGAAAAGTCGCATGACGTCACGTTTGAGTACACTTATAAGTGAAAATTCACTCAAAAGTGACGTCACGAGCCCCTACTCCCAAACTTTGACGCGCTATAACTTTGTCATTTTTTGGTTGATTGCCCAAAGAAAAAATACGTGTCCATTATTTTTTGATCATCTAACTGACGGACTAAATAGAATTTCGTTTACTGTACACCGTCATCACCCCTATTCTATATTTATCTATTTTTGTTCTTTTATTGTGCTCACTCTGTACTGTTGTTGCAAGATTTTTGTGATATCTTTTTATGCACTATCACACATATCATGGTGTACAATAAAGTGATCATTCATTCATTAATTATTTAGTGTAATTAACGACTTACCCGTAAATGGTGTGTTCACTGGTCATACACGAGGTATATTTGAACGGGATCGGTTGGTAACCATACGACCCAGCGTACGGCATATATCCGGGTGCTACCATGCTAGAAAATCAACAATAAACAAATTCATTATTGAACTTCTTCACGCACGCTCGACTTGGGGAGTAAACTGGCGAATGCGTTACGCGTTACGAAAAGTGTGATCGGGCGAGGCGAACGGGAGTTAAGTCTTCGCTATCCGGGCGAATGCAATGACCATTATACTACCGCGGCCCTGACGGCCGCATCGAAATTTCTCTAGCAATTCTTAGTCTGCAAGGCAGCGCCATCTCTTCGCATTGTAGGTAACCCACAATGTCAAATGAATACTTTTAACTTTAGATTTAATCACCTAGCAGTTAAGTGCTTAAAAACTTAACTATAATTGCTATTTCTTCTTTCAAATATTTAATACTTGTAAAAGTATTCATTTGACATTGAGGGTTACCTAAAATGCGAAGAGATGGCGCTGCCTTACAGCTTAAGTATTACTAGAGAAATTTCGATGCGGCCGTCAGGGCCGCGGTAGCATAATGGTCATTGCATTCGCTCGGATAGCGAAGGGTGCGGGATCGAGTCCCGTCTGCTGCCTGGTCCTCGTGGTTTTTTTTCTAGTAAACTTTTTGCGAATTTTATTATAATCGGTTCAGTGGTTTAGAAGTCCATTGAGGACAAACATTGTGACACGAGATTTATATATATTAAGATATTATTTTCATTAATTCGTTAATTTACCCTTTCATACAGTATCAATCTTGTTTAAGTTAAATAAACTCTTTTTGCGTCCGGTTAGACTATCGAACTTAAGGAGTAATCTCCAGTCGTGCGTCGGAGCTGACACACATATTTTTTTTTGCCATAGGATTTTTCCATTTACGAAAACCCCGTCTGAAAAGAAGTTTCTCTCTACAAAAATTACTCAAATAATTCAACTCACTTCGGATTAGGCAGCGGCGCTAGAGTATCAGACGCTAGGCTGTCTGCGTCGGGCGCCCTTAGCCTCATCGCGGCCAGTTCCGCGCAAAGCTCCCCGGCCACGTAGTAACATTGTTCCGAGAATGTTATCTTGTTAACTGTATGCCTTATGAATCCAGCCTGTGGATCGATATAATAAGGTGTATTTGAAAAAATAGCCCATAAAAAATGGTTGCCTGTAAAGTCGGTTTTACGGGCGAAGATTTTACGTGACAACGTCTTTTTCTCGGTAGAATATTTATTGATATGAATATAATTAAATTGCACAATAGGAACAAGGAATTGAATGAAAATAAGAATTGCACAAATTTTAACTATAGAAATATATTTTGTTTACTAAAACATTGTACATGTAAACTTAAACTTAACACGAGAGACTCATCGTAACGTTACCGAGCGTTACACTTTTTCATAAGTGACTCCCAGCCGCAACCTAATTTAAGACGTTGTCACGTCAAAAATAGCCCATAAAAATATGGATATTTTTAATAGGGTATTTGACAAGTTTTAGAAAAAGATCTCACGTTATTGACAAATATTTATGGAGTCCGTAAAAAGTTGTCAAATACCCTATTAAGAAAATAATATCCTATAGTCATTTTTATGACTTAAACGCAGGAAAATCAGAAAAATATGAATTATTTTGACGTGACAACGTCTTAAATTAGGTTGCGGCTGGGAGTCACTTATGAAAAAGTGTAACGCTCGGTAACGTTACGATGAGTCTCTCGTGTTAAGTTTAAGTTTACATGTACAATGTTTTAGTAAACAAAATATATTTCTATAGTTAAAATTTGTGCAATTCTTATTTTCATTCAATTCCTTGTTCCTATTGTGCAATTTAATTATATTCATATCAATAAATATTCTACCGAGAAAAAGACGTTGTCACGTAAAATCTTCGCCCGTAAAACCGACTTTACAGGCAACCATTTTTTTAGATTATATTAAATTTCTTTGCTCTGGCAACACTGAAGTGTTCAGATGTTCTATTGCATTATCTGCAATTTTTTAATTTATTCACGACAAATTACATGAAAAGATAATATATTTCGATCAGGTCAAATGACAAAATGCAGTGCAGTTATTAGTGAATAGGGTATTTGACAAGTTTTAGAAAACGATCTCACGTTATTGACTAATGTTTATTACGGAGTCCGTAAAAAGTGGATATTCATCATTCTGTTGTGTATTTCAGTAAAAATAACCAAATCAAAAACTCCATTTTCAAGTTGCCGCGAATACCGTTTTTTTTGGACAATATGGCGTCTTACTAGTGTGTGACGTCACACGACTGTTATTAAAACGTCAAACGATACAATGTAATGACACTTTAACCGGAAGTTTACTTGCGTGTGACGTCATTTGTGTGAAGCGTTTTGGGTTACGTGACAATAGATAAGAAAACTATTATCTTTTTCGTGGGTTTTTAGTAAAACTATGATTTTTTTTTGTCCTATCTTACCTCTTGCTTCCAATATTTTACCCGTTGTGTTCCATCTTACCTTAAGCATATTCGAGGCATATTTCCTAGCTTCTCTTCTGTCAGCTATACCAGCCACTTGTTGTCCTATCTTAGCTCTTGTTTCCAATATTTTACCCGTTGTGTCCCATCTTACCTTAAGCATATCCGAGGCATATTTCCTAGCATCTCTTCTATCAGCGATATCAGCCACTTGCTATCCCATCTTACCTCTAGCTTTCAATATTTTACCCGTCGTATCCCATCTCACCTTGAGCATATCCAAGGCATATTTCCTTGCATTTCTTCTGTCAGCTAGACCAGCCACTTGTTGTCCTATCTTACCTCTTGCTTCCAAAATTTTACCCGTCGTGTCCCATCTTACCTGAAGCATATCCAAGGCATATTTCCTAGCATCTCTTCTGTCAGCTATATCAGCCACTTGCTGTCCTATCTCACCTGTTGCTTCCAATATTTTACCCGTTGTGTCCAATCTTACCTTGAGCATATCCAAGGCATATTTCCTTGCATCTCTTCTGTCAGCTATATCAGCCACTTGCTGTCCTATCTCACCTCTTGCTTCCAATATTTTACCCGTTGGGTCCCATCTTACCTTAAGCATATCCGAGGCATATTTCCTAGCATCTCTTCTGTCAGCTATACCAGCTACTTGTTGTCCTACCTTACCTCTAGCTTTCAATATTTTACCCGTTGTCACATCTTACCTTAAGCTTATCCAAGGCATATTTCCTAGCATCTCTTCTGTCAGCTATATCAGCCACTTGCTGTCCTATCTCACCTCTTGCTTCCAATATTTTACCCGTTGGGTCCCATCTTAGCTTGAGCAAATCCAAGGCATATTTCCTTACATCTCTTCTGTCAGCTATACCAGCCACTTGTTGCCCTATCTTACCAATATTTTACCCGTTGTTGCCCATCTTACCTTGAGCATATGCGAAGCGTATTTCCTAGCATCTCTTCTGTCAGCAATACCGGCTACATGTTGTAAAACCCAGTCCACTACATCAGCGCCAATGAACGCGTTAGGAATGGTAATCTTGAGCCACATTCGATCGCGTATCTCTAATCCTGTGAAAATGGTAATGATAATGGTTTTATACATTGTTAAAGACAGAATGAGATAAGACATGATTAGCTTTATCTACATGCATATAACATTTGTCTACTCTCAATTTAACTACGCCCATGCTTAAAAACCTCTATAAAAAAGTTTCTGAAACAGTTTGCTTTTTGGCAACATTAAAACTTGCATTAATAAAAAAAATATACATTAATACAACATTAATAAAAAAAACAGTACTTCATGTGGCTGTCATATAAGAAATTAAAACAAGAGTCTGTTTATCTGTAACTGTTTTGGCGGTGTCGCCGACTCGAGAGGTTCCGGGTTCAAATCCCAGCGGGGGAAGATGTTTGTGTGATAAATACGAGCATTTGTACTCCAGTCTTGGATGTTTATTATGTATTTAAAACAAACTAAATCCTACTAATATATTAAATCAGAAAGTTTGTATGTTTGTATGTGGACTGTGCGTAGATAGTATGACTGTGTAACATTCACCTGAATCGTCCATACGAACAATAGGAGAGCGCGTCGTATATGGGTATCGAGTGGCCGTTATATGTAGTATTAACAGTGGATAGTAAGTTGCCAGCGTGTGGATATCGTGTTAACAATGTGTGGATAGTGCTTTGAGAGCTTGTAGTCGGAGTGATGCGTGTGTATCGATAGTGAGTTGCTAAAGTGTTGATATCGTGTTAACAATGTGTGTATAGTGAGTTAGCAGTGTGTTGATATCGGTTTGACAGTGTTTGCTAGCGAGTTGAATGCGTGTAGACAGTGTTGATATTTATAATTTTTATTTTATAAGCATGTAACTGCTTGATGTTTAAATCTAAAGAAAACTAGAAACAATTCCACGCAGACCAGGCAGCAGACGGGACTCGAACCCGCACCCTTCGCTATCCGGGCGAATGCACTGACCAATTATGCTACCGGGGCCCTGATGGCCGCGTCGGAATTCCTCTAGCCATTCTTAAGCTGCAAGGCAGCGCCATCTCTTCGCATTGTAGGTAACTCACAATGTCAAATGAATACTTTTACAAGTATTAAACATTTGAAAGAAGAAATAGCAATTAGAGTTTTTTTTAAGCATTTAAATCTAAAGAAAATATAACTAAAAAATTGTTGATATTGTTTTAACAGCGTGTGGAATGTGATATAACAATGAGCGGACAGCATGTTGATAACGTTGTGTGAAACTCACTCGAATCCGGTCACAGAATCGGCATGTATGCGTAGCATGGTCGCAGTGTTGACAGCGTGTGGATAGTAGGTTGTCCGCGTGTTGCTATTGTGTTAACTATGTGTGAATAGTGAGCGAATCGACAGTGTGTTGATATAGTACTGACAGTGTGTAGATAGTGAGTTGACAATTTGTCGTTAGTAAGCTGAATATTGAGTAGACAACATGTGGACAGTGTGTGGATAGTGAGATGACAGCATGTTGATAGTGTGTTGACAGCATGTAGACAGTGTGTGGCCAGTGAGATGACAGCATGTTGATAGTGTGTTGACAGCATGTAGACAGTGTGTGGCTAGTGAGATGACAGCATGTTGATAGAGTGTTGGCAACATGTAGACAGTGTGGGGCCAGTGAGATGACAGCATGTTGATAGTGTGTTGACAGCATGTAGACAGTGAGTGGCCAGTGAGATAACAGCAAGTTGATAGTGTGTTCACATGTAGACAGTGTGTGGCCAGTGAGATGACAGCATGTTGATAGTGTGTTGACAGCATGTAGACAGTGTGTGGCTAGTGAGATGACAGCATGTTGATAGTGTGTTGACAGCATGTAGACAGTGTGTGGCCCGTGAGATGACAGCATGTTGATAGTGTGTTGACAGCGTGTCAGACTCACCCGAATCCGGTCTCAGCATAGCCCTCACCACCAACGCCATGTCCATATGTACGGACAGCGCGTCATGAGAGGGCATCGAGTGGCCTGTATGAGCAGTGTGTTCTGACGCGGCCCGATCCGGTGCAGAAGGTAGGCCCGATATGGAGGGGGGAGGGGGAGGGTAGGCTTCCCTTAAAGCCTGAGTGTGGGCCACCCACGCGCCTAGTGTGACCAAAATATATACATAAATATACAAGAAGACGCGTGTAGCGGGTATAATGATATTCGCAATAAATTGTCTATTTTGTAACTCATATAAATTATTAAAAATGTCCATTTATTGTCTTTAGTCAATCAACAGCGTCAAAGGTTGGGAGTGGGGCCCCGTGACGTCACTTCTAAGTAAGAATTGTAGGGAGACGTGACGTCATGCGACATTTCAAATCAATATATGTATGTAATGCTTTGATTGTATGAAAAAAGGAAAAATACGTATCCAATATTTTTCAATAATCTACCTGATTGATGAAAAAAAGAAAATGATTTATAATATAGTGTTTCCCTATTGGAAACGAGAAGAAAATTCTTTCTTATACACTAAACACAATGGTTGTCTGGAAGAGATCGCTCTAAGCGATATGGCGCCCATTGTTATACTAGTTTTAATTGGTTATGTACTAAATTTAATGTTATCTGTGGTGTACAATAGTGTTTTGTATTGTATTGTAAACTTCGTCGTTCGTATACACTTCTTCATCAGTTGGTCATTGGATGGGTGACCAAAAAAATTTACTATCTCGAACTGCTGCTTCGGAAGGCCGTTAGGCACATTAAGCTTTGGTCCCGGCTGCATCTGCAGCCGTTAGCACCCACCAATCCGCACTGGGCCCACGTGATGAGTCATGACCCAAAAACTCCCTATTCCATCCATAGGGAAGGCATTGAGATTTTTGGTCACCCATCCAATGACCGACCACTGCGAAAGTTGCTTAACTTCAACGATCGCAACCAAACCTACCCGCGCCATCGAGCTCCTCTTTAGCACATATTAAGAGGTATTTCAATTAGAACAAAAAAATCTAGTGATCTCCATTTTACCTGGGTCTATAGGCCTGACGGGCTCCGTCCGGGGTATGGTGAAGTACCCCTTGGGATTAGGGTCCCAACACTTGGCCACCACCAATTTAATAGGTCCTGGCTTCTGAACAACTTCCCGGAGTACCCGTACGGCTTCATCGTTGGTCATATCTTCAAAGTTCACATCGTTCACCTGGAATATTTTATAATTTTATTTTAAAGATGCATACAAAACATATACAAGGTACAATTCCGAGACGAGTCAAAGACTGTAGCTTTCCCCAAGCACGACAACATGCCGCGACTGCACAACCCAGGGAACCATATACTTCTGCCACACACTCGACGAGTGGTATGGGAACTAGCGAGGAAAGAATGCAGAGACGTAGTATGGCAACATTACTAGTCATGCTCGTCGTCATGCCTATTTTGTTTTAAGCTTTTATGGTCACTAAATTTATAGCTATTAACGGGATTGTTACCATGTACCTTGTTTTTTATGAGTCTCCGATATTTCGGCACTGTTGCAAGCGAGATGAACATAGTCTCTAGTTTCTCAAGGAAAATGATATGTACAGCAGACATGTCAGTTATTAAATTATTAGTCCTGAATAAATACCCAGCTGATTATTGTATCAACTGGGTACCATACGTCCACAAGGTGACTAAAATTATCTGTGTGTGTCTAAAATCCTATATACAATATCATGAGAAAAACGTAGCCGAAAACTGTCCAAAAGGTACATTGGACATGAATAATTTACGGAGCTCCGTAAGTTGATCGCGTTGTCAAAAACAATTTCTATTGTTTAAACATTTTAAATTCACCATTAATGCAAATTCTATAAGGTCTTAATTTAAATGCACACATCATAGTTCAATGACAGTTTGAAATGCAAACTAGTAATTTTAGGACTTGTTGCTATAGGCGGAGGAATATAGACTTTACTCGTAATTTTATATCGCAATTCTGAATGCGTTGTTAGCAATATAGCAGGCACGGAACGCGAAGGAAAGAGACGACTATATAGCCAACCATGCATTTGATTATTACAAATATTTTTATTAATTCAGTTTATAGTAAGTATTACGATAAAATTTGCATTAAGTGGGTTTAATTAATAAACACTGATTGTATCCCTGTCGACAAAAACGACATTCTACATACTATAAGTATTTTTTCGCATTTTGTTACGGAGCTTTGTGGTATGTTGACTTTTCAAATGAACCAAGAAATGCTTGAGTGGCGTTCAAGCACTTCTTGATTGGGAGTTGGGACACATTTTGAGCACTTCTAATCTAGGGTTTTTAATATCGTTGGTGTATCGGACAGAACTTTCCTAAATGTAAAATTAGCTTAAAACGCACAAGGTGGACATCATCTGAAAACCATTATTAAGGATATTATTTTCCCCTTTTCTTAAATACTAAGATCAGACAATGGAGGACAGATGTATGGTAGTAAGTTCTTCAAATGTCATGAATTTGTTTTGTAATTCAATGTTTAATGACTCTGAATGGCATAAGATAAAGTAATTAAATATGTAAATATGCTTTAACTTTGACCCCTCTTCTCATTTAAAAATAAACAGCATAAAATTTCCAGCATTTCAATCCCAGTGGGGGCAGGTGTTTGTGTGATGAATAGGAGCATTTGTACTCCAGTCATGGATGTTTAATATGTATTTCTACATATACAAATGCATGATAATTACATAAAAAACACATCATTAACATCTTTACTTATAATTCAGCATGTCCTGCAGACACATAGGCCTCCTCCAGCCTTTTCCACCCCGATCTATCCCTTGCTAACCTCAGCCATAGCAGCCCAGCTACCCTTCTTATGTCATCCGACCATCTTTTCAGCTGTCTCCATGTTTACGGTAAGTGCTCGTTCTGGTATTTCTATATAAATATACTTATATATGTACAGTATATGTATTCTATCACACAAAACCATCCCCTAACACAAGACTTACAGTGCTTACTTTGGGGCTAGGCTAATTAGTGTGAGTGTTGAAAATATGTATTTATTATTTACTTCCAAATCCAGCCCTGCATGCAGTAGTCTATTTTATATGATAAAAGAGATAATCACCAAGAAAGTCAGTTATTCTTTTAAGTTCTACATAAGGCCCTTCAATCTTCATCAATGGCGACAACTCTGAAATATGAATTGATTGATATCTTTTCTCACTGTTGAATCATTTCAGACCTTATTATGGGGAAGGAGAGTTTAAAATTGTATTACATAGATTCTTTCCATCCATATGGGGTTTTGAATTAGTTAAAGATAAGCCACCCTGTGACTGTGTGTCTCAAAAAAATTTAACAAATATAGATTCTACATTATCTTATATATTCCATTCCTGGTAGTGTTTTTTTAAAGTAAAATTTTCTTTACAGTTAAAACTGAATTCCAGCAGTTAAATGGCTAAAAAATATTTTTTTTATAAAGATGTTTTTAGTTTTACATGAAATATAAATAGTTCAACATATTTTGGAGGTATCCCATACAATTAAACATACATCATACATTTCATTTAGATTACAATATGCACTGCATAATATCGAGCCCTTACCGCCAAATTATCATAAGCGACACTCGCCAAATTATTGTAAGCTTGTCGAAATGCGTTTTTTGTGGAAACTAATATTTTAAACCGTAACGGACCCATCTCTGTTGATATTTCCCTCTATTCTTCCCTCTATTATATTATAACGGTGTTCTTTTGGAGGGAAATATCAACAGAGATGGGTCCGTTACGGTTTAAAATATTAGTTTCCACAAAAAACGCATTTCGACAAAAGTGTCACTTACGATAATTTGGCGGTATAGGCTCGATATACATTTAAGCACTTCTTTTAGCAGTAACAAACAATCTGTGAACAAAATTCTACAAATATTTTATTACTATGTAAAATGAAAAATTGCTTTATACCTGCAGTATCATGTCACCAGGTTCTATCCGTCCATCCAATGCAACTGCACCACCTTTCATTATACTACCCACATATATTCCACCATCACCACCTTTGTTCGACTGTCCGACTATCGAGATACCGAGGAAATTCACAGAATCCATGTTCAAAGTCACTGTTATAATATGCATAGACATAGTAGAATCAGTTATTGAGGAATATGAGGATGTCCGGGACATAATTTGAGGCCTTTTACGCCTTCTCTGCGGCCTCTTCCGATTACTGACTTGTAAATGGGAAACACTGCTGCATTCTGTGAGTGCTCTGTCCACTGACGCGTTCGTATGACGTCCAGTGGTCGTCGTGATCTCAGACTGACTGTCGAATAGGCTCGTCGAGTCTAAATCGGAGCTCAGAACCGATGCAGTCTCGTATTCAAGCCCGTGGTTTCCGTACTTGGAGTGACCGTTGATTCGGAGCCCCCTGTATTTGTATTTGTCACACGACGCCCTGTGACCAGGTCTCGAGCTGATGGTACTGTCCGTGTCTGTACAGGTGTCCCTGGTCAACGGTGCAGAAGGAGCGTTTTGCTTCGCTTTGCCTGCATTACTGTCTGTACACTGAGATGCACCATCGGAAGGATTGGAACCCTCCGCAGACACCAGCCATGACACCACACGACCGTTGAAACATGGCAGGTGCGCGTTGTCGTCGACTATTTCTTCTTTCACAACACCGAAATCATCGTCCATTGATTTGAAGAAAAATTTATAATTCGGCCTGTTCAATTGGTTCTTGAAGTCCAACAACGTAACCTTTTCGGGTGATATTGGTATTTTGACTAAATACGGCGTTTCTTCATCGTCTATGTAATATATTACTTTCGTTTCCTCCATTTTCAATGCATTTATTTAGTCTGGAATAACAACACCCTACGATCTATAAATATCAGCGGCCATCACAATAATGGCGATAAACAGGTTCCTTGATTTGACAGTACGTGGCGCCACAGGCGGCTATATCTTTTCATTCCGGCACTTCACATGGTTCTACAGTATTTATTATTTGTAAACTTGACAACAGTCTCTCCTTTTCACTCCATAAAGAGTATGATAAGGACAATCTACTGTCAAAAGACAAATAGTAAATACGAATAGTTATGTGAAGTGCCGGCATTAGGTGTGTTCATATTTACATTTCAATTGAACATTCAAAAACCTCTGCCAATATAAAAGGTTCTTAATAATGGGGTCTATTGTTTATGGTAGTAAACCATAGAGAATCTATAAAATAATTCTAGTTTGTCTTTGGCATGACCATAGAGAAAGTAAACACTCCGTCCACGGTTCCCAACTTAGGGGTTTTGCCCCCAGATTTAGGGGCTAGAAGTGTTAAAACGGACATTTTTAGGGGCTGGAATTTGTTGGGGGTTCTTTTAGGGGCTTTTTCAAAACTTGCAAATAAATCGAAAAACAAAGCGTGTTTTCTTTCGGTTTTGTGCGTAGAATGGAACGCACAACGATATGAAACGAACGACTGAACTGACTGTGTGGCGGGTTGTTTCCTAAGGCTGTATGGACTAAAGTTAAAAAAGAGCTAAATAAGATTAAACAGTCTGTCAGCTCATTTTCGTTTGATTGTCCTTTCGGAAATTATTTATTCAATAAAATAATTTACTGTAACTAAATATGTAACGTTTTAATTTATGAGCAACGAAAGAATTTGGGTAATAAGTAGGTACTTAAAAAAATGTATATTTAGGGGATTTTAGGGGAATTTAAAAAATACTTAGGGGAAAATTTTGGTAAGGGTTGGTAACACTGACTCCGTCAAAATGTTCGAATTCTGGCCGTTGTTTATGTTGGTTGCTTTTCTGTTGTGTTGTGAGCTAAAATCGTAATTTTTTATTTATTCAATTTTCGTCAAGAAAATGGCTTTGGAGGGAAAAGAATCATGGCTCTTACCCATCATGGATCAATTAGAAGCATTTTGTAACCGTGTCGACGGTGAGGAATACAACATTTAAAGGATTTTATGTTGTAAAATGTTTGTAAAAAACTTTTTCCAATCTTTAATATCATTATTTATGTGGTATATTCCAGATAAAATTGAAAAGGAACAGCAGCAACTAAAAGCGTGCAAGAAAAAAACGGAATTTGAGACAAAGTTAGCACAAGAATTAAAGTTAAACGTGAGTAATTTACATTTATTTTACATGCATACATGCGCAACACACCGTACTGAGAGGAAAACATTATTTTTGTAATTGATTAGCTCCAAAATCCACCTGTACCTATTTATTATTATTATTTTTATTTATTCATATTCCAAACCTTTTCGTTTTTAAGTTTGTACTTAAATACATATAAGTATATATATATTTACATATCATAATCAGTTTTATGGTATTTTTACATTTAAGATTTATGAAATTGCATAATTTATCTGAAAACAATATTTTTGTTATTTAGTAGCCAGTTGTTTATTTTAAAGCATAAAACTATTTTTAATAAATCAAATAATTAGGCATAAGAATTAGTATTGAAAATTTTTTTGCAATATTTTCACAGAATGAGCTAAATGAACGCTTATCGGAGCTGTCTCGTCGCGGCAGTGAGCTGGACAGGGTGTGTGCCGCGTTTGAATCCCGACTCACCATCGCAGACAGTGACCGTAACAGGCTAGATAATGCCAAGTGAGTGGATATGTCTCATAAAATGACTTGTAATTTAAATAATTTTGAAAAAAGGTCACAAATAATCATGTTACATGTAATCTTATTATTTTAAACCCCCTGGTGACTTTTTTTCACTATGGTAAGGCATTATTGGCCATTAATACATTATAAAGACGAAAGATTGCGAGTGTGTATGCCTGTTACTATTCACGTCTTAACGGCTGGAGCGATTTTAACAAAATTTGGTATGGAGTTAGCTGACACCATGGATTAACACAGACTACATTTTACAGCGTAAAAATATCCCTTATAAACCGTGAGGAAAACCGCGGGGCACAGCTAGTAGTTCATAAGGGAGAGTACCTATATATTTTGTTTTCCAATGTAAGTTTTTTAGGATAAGTTTTCAGTATTACAGTTTGAGATACTGGTAGTTCTCACAAAATTCACCTGTAGTTTTTTAACAGCTTGTACAATAATTATTTTTATGGGATATTTTAGGTGTTAAATCTTTATCCATAGACATCTTTGAATACTCAAGTATTTTACAATGAAATTGCAAAATAATGATATTCCATTTAATATTGTTTCAGAGAGATTTACCAGCTGGCTAAAGAGTTAACTGGAATCAGACTAGATTTCAGCGCACCACCTAATGTCTGCAAAGGATGTATCCTTTTCCTAAAGTTCTGTGTGATAACAAATAATTATACATTATATTATTTATTTTTTAAGCATTTAACTGCTAGATGTTTGAATTTAAAGAAAATTTTACTAGAAAATATTCCATGCGGACCAGCAAAGAGATGGCGCTGCCTTGCAGCCTAGACAAAACTCGATACGGCCATCAGGTCAGTGCATTCGCCCGGATAGCGATGGGTGCGGGTTCGATTCCTGTGTGTCGTGTGTAGTATATATTGTCATTAGAATTAAACATGGAGCAGTTACATGCTTAAAAAATAAAAATTATAATAATATATTGTTTTAAACTTTCATGGTCACTAACATTACAATACTTTATATATCATTTTTACACTTTATCTTACCATTTTTGTAATTCACCATGGAACTTGCTAAAAACAAGGTACTTGGTAACAATCTCCTAAATAACCAATTATTGTAAATACCAAAATGTTTCCTGAACTGCTCATACAGACATAAAGAGCGAGTCTCGCAAACAATTGCGTCCTTTCGAGATACCTTCAACCAACGCTGACGCTGCGCTGTGGAGTATGCTACAATCCGTGGTATCGCCGGCTGGTGACGAGAATAAACCAGTCAATTGATAAAATGACCTTTAATTTACTAACGGTCAGTTCAATTGATAAAATGACCTTTAATTTACTAACGGTCAGTTCAATTGATAAAATGACCTTTAATTTACTAACGGTCAGTTCAATTGATAAAATGACCTTTAATTTACTAACGGTCAGTTCAATTGATAAAATGACCTTTAATTTACCAACGGTCAGTTTCAATATTCAAGCTCCAGTAAGAGGAAGGCCTATTAGAGTTTTGTTGCTATATTTTTAACCAATGAAAACAACTAGCGATGGGCGTTGAATTAACGAACGGTTTAAATAGACGGTCTACGTTCAATCGACGCTTCGACGGTCTACAGTTCATTCGTTAACTAGTTGATTTCATAGACGGCTAAACTGAGAGTCCACAGCGTTCATATCTACTGACAAAGCGACGACGACGTGTAAACGTATCCGGTTTACCCGTAACAAGTCCATACGTTCGTTCATTCGTTGAAATAAAACAATTTGAACTTAAGTATATGGCGTGGGAGTTGATATTTTTTCGTTTTATAAACTAGAGTTGTTAGAGTGAAAAGCTAAGAGTATTCTATATCCCCTCAGTCAAAAGTCAATTTGCACGTCGTCAATATACATATATGGCACCACGACTTTACAACAAATTAAATAACATTAAAAAGATAAAAAAAGTGTAGTAATTTTAGCTTAAAAAAAATTATTAATGATTGGCTGTTCGACATAGATTATGATGGTGTGGAGGATCTACTGATTGACAACACCCGGATATAGGAAGTATAGCACAGTGTTTATAAATTATTACTTGATATTTCGAGGAGCTCGATGGCGCAAGTGGTTAGCGCGTTCCGCAGCGATCGTTGTATTTAAGCAACTTTCGCAGTGGTCGGTCATTGGATGGGTGACCATAATTTACTATCTCGAGCTCCTCCGTGTTTCGAAAGGCACGTTAAGCCGTTGGTCCCGGCTGCATCTGCAGTCGTTAGCACCCACCAACCCGCACTGGGCCCGCGTGGTGGGTCATGGCCCAATCTCCCTATTCCATCCATAGGGAAGCCTGTGCCCCAGCAGTGGGGACATTAATAGGCTGATGATGACTTGATATTTATGTGGTTCAAGACAAGACGCATCTACATACACACACACACACACACACACACACACACACACACACACACACACACACACACACACACACACACACACACACACACGCGCGCGCGCAAGCACACCTACACCCACACTCACTATACACACACATATAATATAGTTATTTTTTCTATTTATCTTTACTGTGAAGAAAAATAGTAATGTTTTGTTATGCCCAGTACAACTGCTAAGATTATATTGTAAGTACATAATTGGAGAGGACACTGGATTCCATACTACAGTTTAAGGCCTATTTTGGAATACAGGGGAATCAAACATAAATTGTAAAAAGTATAATGTCAATAAACATTATTATTATTATTCTGATATTGCAGTGAAAGAGTACGTCGATGTATCTGGCTGAAGGATGCAGTGCAAGATGAAAGGGTTTATAATAATTGTTTACCTCAAGTAGTTGCAGTTTTGTTTATTGAAATTTGATATTAGTGTGTCGCGAGGTCAAGGTCAAGGGACACGTTAATGCGAATTTAGTGCAAAGTTGGTTTGAATTGAGTGTTTATGTTATGAGTTTAATTTGTAATTTGTTTTGTAAACATTTAAATGACTATAATGTAAAGTATAATGTAAGAGGAGCTCGATGGCGCAGGTGGCTAGCGCGTTCGGCTGCGATTGTTGAAGTTAAGCAACTTTCGCAGTGGTCGGTCATTGGATGGGTGACCAAAAATTTACTATCTCGAGCTCCTCCGTGCTTCGGAAGGCACGTTAAGCCGTTGGTCCCGGCTGCATCTGCAGTCGTTAGCACCCACCAATCCGCACTGGGCCCGCGTGGTGGGTCATGGCCCAATCTCCCTATTCCATCCATAGGGAAGGCCTGTGCCCCAGCAGTGGGGACATTAATAGGCTGATGAATGTAAAGTGAATACTAAATAAAGACCCCGTCGTCGTCGTTACGT